GGAGCCACTGTTTTGTAAACTGATTTTTTGCAGTTATTAGATTATGAACATTTACCCATGTAATATGATTTAAGTTGCTGCATAGTATTCTGTCAGACTATCAACATCCTATTATGAGACAGTCATGACGCTTCTAACCCTTCTCTCTCCAGACCAAGATGAACATCTTGGTACCCACATCTTTATGGGTCTCTCCTAAACAATGGGAAAAATGGAACTGTTGGGTCAAGGGATTTGGACAGCTTAAAGATTTTTTACACTATTTTCAAATTCTAAGGGAAAAAAAAAACTTGACCAGGCACAGTGGTTCAAGCCCGTAATCCCAGCACTTTGGGAGGCCGAGGTGAGTGGATTGCCTGAGTCCACTGTTTGAGAACAGCCTGGGCAACTTGGTGAGACCTCATCTCTACAAGAAAATTTAAAAATAGCCAGGCGTAGTAGCATGCGCTTGTAGTTCTGGCTACTTGGAAGGCTGAGGTGGAAGGATCACCTGAGTCCAGCAGGTTAACAGTGGGGTAGCCGTGAGCATGCCACTGCACTCCAGCCTGGGCGACAGAGTGAGACTCCAACTCAAAAAAAAAAAAGAACTCCAGCAGTGTGAACAGTATGTAGGTGAGGCCCTGTTTTCTATGTCTTCACTTTCATTGGACATTGTGTCCAGTCAGGTTTCACTTAGGGAAACAGAAAGCACACTGGGTATTTCAACAGAGAGCAGTTAACAGTTAACATAGGGGATTGGTTTAACAGGCACTGGATGGTTGAAAAAGCAAAAAGTGGACACTGAAATAACTCAGAGAGAGTAACAGCAAGAAGCATGCCCCCCTCCCCCCGCCAGAGCTAGAACAACAAAGGGATGGAGCCAGGGTTGTTGAACTCTGGAAGTTTGAAGCTGGAACACAGCGGGGCGCTGACAAGGGGGTACTGCCTGTTGCCACCGGTGCCACAGAAGTTCATAGAAAAATCCCTATGGAGCTGGAACTCGAACCTTTGAGAAGGAGGTGCTACCTGGTTGGTGTTGGCACCTATAAAGGGCACCATGAAGCTGGGTCTGGTTGTGCAGGAAAAAAGAAAGAAAGAAGAAAGAGACTGGAGCTAACTACTGTTACTCACGTAGAGAATCGTTGCCAAGAAGACCCTGACATGAAGAGCAAGCAAAAAGCACCAAGTCTTTGTCTTCTGCTCCAACCCCGCAGTCTCCCTCCACTGCTCCCTGTGGGCACAGCTAACAAATGAGAACTAGGATTTTCACAGACCCAGCCCCAACCTCATGGAACCCATCAGAGAAAGGTAGATTTGGAACTGAGAGATAATAGCCTAGTAACCAGACAGACGTGATCACATGCCATATTTTTGTTGGCAATCTTTTCAATGCCAGTGATCCAGAGCAAATTAAATATGATATTGGTCAATATGATTTTTTTGTGAGGCAGAGTCTTACTCTGTTGCCCAGGTTGGAGAGCAGTGGCACACTAATGGACACCCCAGTGTCAACCTCTTGGGCTCTGGCAATCCTTCTGCCTCAGCCTTCCAAGCAGCTGGAACTACAGGCGTGCACTACCACGCCTGGCTAGTTTTTTATTCATTGTAGAAACGAGGTCTGGCCAGGTTGCCTGGGCTGGTCTTGAACCCGTGGGCTCAGGCAATACACTTGCCTCGGCCTCCCAAAGTGCTGGGATTACAGGCTGAGCCACTGAGCCCAGCCTGATATTTTTGATGATATAATAGTTTTACATAACATGGTGATCTGATTTCAGATTGAACTGGGATGTCTCTAAAACAAAATGCACATGACTTCAAGCTGACATTTGTTTAAAAGGGTTCCTCTGCCTCATGCACTCTGCCCAGCAAGTGATGTGGGCTGTCTCGAGCCTCACTTTACAGATGGGGAATGCTGAGGCTTCAAGAAGATAAGCAACTGGCTCAAGTTCACGGCGTCAAAGCAGTGGAGACAGAATGTTGATGGGTAGCCTGACGTCAAAGCCTGAGCTGTCAACCACGTTTTTGCACTGCAGCCCCGTTCCGTTTACTGTTTAGGTGACATGCCTGGATCAGAAGGTGGTGATACCTTGGAAATGAACACATCCACCCCAGAATCTTGCTGGAACTCTTGGCTCATTCTGTGCTGTGGCATCACTTGGTAGTGAAGACTGTGTTCTGACACAAAGCATTCTGCACTCCAGTCACCAAACACCTAATAGTGAGGGCCAGAGTGGACTCTTGTCTCTGAATGTCAGCCTCTGGTAGGCAATCACAGCATCCTGGAATCCCAGAGCAGCACAAAGACCCTCCTCAGATGTTTGAATTCCTTGCTGTAACAGCTCATTAGTTATCCAGCATCTGTTTGAACACTTTTCATGACCCATAATATATGACTGTACAAAGTAGCTCTATTTTTTTTTTTTTTTTCGAGTTGGCATCTCACTCTCTCACCCAAGCTGGAGTGCAATGGTACAATCACGGCTCACCATAGTCTCAGCCTCTTGGGCTCAGGAGAGCCTTGCACCTCAGCCCTCCAAGTAGCTGGAACTACAGGCATGCGCCACCACACCTGGCTAATTTTTTTATTTTCTGCAAAGATGAGGTCTTGCTATGTTGCCCAGGCTGGTCTCAAACTCCTGGGCTCAAGCAATCTTCCAGCCTCAGTCTCCCAAAGTGCTGGGATTACAGGTGTGAGCCACTGCACCCAGCCCTCTCTATGGTTTTAGACAACTGTAGCTACTAAGAAGTTTTTACTTGCAGAGAACTGAACTCTATTTCTCTATAAATTCTACCTGAATATTTCTGGTTTTGCTTTGTTGAGCAACACAGGGAGCTTTGCCAATGCTTGAAGACGGCTTTTATATCACTCTTCCCTTGGGGGGGTGTGACAAGGTGCCCAGGTGCTTTTGAAGATAGCAAAATTCTCAGATAAATATGGCAGAGTGGGTAAGTACAGCTTAGATTTCTTCCTGAAAAAGACAAGCACAGAGCAAGGCTGCTGGGTGCTTAAGTGCACAGGTTTTAAGATCAGACAGATCTGAGTTCAAATCCTAGCTCAATCATTTCCCACCCGACAACTTCCTAACACCGTGACCTTGAGCAAGCTGTTCAGCCAAAGCATCATGGTAGACCCTCCGTGACAGTGGTTTTGTGAGGATTCAGTCAGCTGACGCTGGTGGCTACCCAGTAGATGTTCAGAAAATAAGGTCTATGAAGTGTGCTGATGAAAGACAAATTTCATTTTGCATCTAAGCTATGAAAATGTCTCTTTATGGTAGTGATTATTCCCTAAAGGTCATCCCACCCTACTGCAACAGACCTACTTAAGGGTTATATAACAGATTACTCTCTGGACCACTTTAGTCCACTGTGGGGAGGGGACCAGATACATACATGTGGAGTCAGAAGACCTGAATTCAAGATCTGATTTGGCCCCTTATTCTGTGATCTTGAATAATTGTCTGACCCTTGGTTTTCTCATTATTTATTTATTTATTTATTTATTTTAGTTGGAGTCTCACTCTGTTGCCCAGGCTGGAGTGCAGTGGCACGCTCACGGCTACCCCAGCGTCCACCTGCTGGGCTCTGGCGATCCTTCTGCCTCAGCCTTCCAAGTAGCCAGAACTAGAGGCATGCATTACCATGCCCGGCTAATTTTTTAAAATTTATTGTAGAGATGTGGTCTGGCAAAGTTGCCCAGGCTGGTCTCAAACCCTCAGGCTCAGGCAATCCACTCGCCTCAGCCTCCCAAAGTGCTGGGATGACAGACTGAACCACCAAGCCCGGCTGCTTTCCTCATTTATAAGAGTGCGCCCACATAAGGGAACATGGGGTAAATGGCCACTGTGAAGTACTGTGCAGCAATTAGAAGAAACAGTAGAACACAGATCTGAAAAACATTTCTGAGTGAAAAAAAGGTGACCAGCAGCCTAAGACATGTAACGATGCCATTTATGTAAAAAAATCAGAACCACCACATGAAACCTACACCACTCCTGCAGATTAGAGACATCCAGTATGGTACGACTGTCTACAAAAGGAAAAGAAGGCAAGGAGGTTGGGAAGGTAAAAAGAGATCAAAATCCCAGGGCACGGTGGATCACGCCTATAGTTCCAGTACTTTGGGAGGCCCGGGTGGGAGGATTGCTTGAGCCCGGGAGTTTGAGACCAGCCCAGGCAACATAGTGAGACCTCTACAAAAACATTTAAAAATTAACTGAGCATGATGGCATGCACCCGTAATCCCAACACTCTGGGATACCAAGGCAGGAGGATCACTTGAGCCCAGGAGTTTAAGACCAGCTGGGAAACATAGCGAGAACGCATCTCTACAAAAAATTAGCCAGGTGTGACGGTGCATGCCTATAGTTCCAGCTACTTGGGAGGCTAAGGCAGAAGGATCTCCTGAGCCCAGGAGGTTGAGGCTGCACTGAGTTATGATCATGCTGCTGCACTCCAGCCTGGGCGATGGAGTGAGAACTTGACTCAAAAAAAAAAAAAAGAAAAAAGGCAGCCGGGCTCGGTGGCTCAGCCTGTAATCCCGCGCCTTTGGGAGGCTGAGGTGAGTGGATTGCCTGAGCCCGCGGGTTCGAGACCCACCTAGGCAGTGAGACCTCATCTCTACAATAAATCAAAAAATCAGCCGGGCGTGGTAGCGCATGCCTGTAATTCCGGCTACTTGGAAGGCTGAGGCGGAAGGATCGCCGGAACCCAGCAGGTCGAGGCTGCGGTGGCCAGGAGTGGCCACTGCACTCCAGTCTGGGTGACAGAGTGAGACTCCAACTCAAAAAAAAAAAAAAAAAAAAGGCGGGGAGGGTGGTCAATAAATAAAGAGCAGAATGAGGCCTGAATGCATTTAGAAGTACGTAATATGCACACAGTGATGCTGTCCTACCTTTCTCACAGGTTATTCTGAGAAGCTGACAAGGTAACACATATATAAAAACAAAAATTAATTTACTGTTTTCATTATGATCCCCACATGGGACAAATGTACTGAACACAGATGAAAAGGCTCCATCACTCTTCAGCAGGAAGCCAATGCCAGGGCAGCGCCCATGAAGCCTTGCCCTGGCTTCAGAGCCTACCAGTAAGATGACATCAGAGCAGCCCTCCGTGGGGGCAGGAGAGTAGCAGCTCCCCTCACCTCTGGGGACAACACTTGATGGCACAGCTGGAGGCAGTAGCCGTCTTTTCCCATGGACCCTCCCCCCGGATGGCTCTCGGGCCCTCGGAAGAAGAAACCCAGGCTGACAGGGGCCTTGGTGGCCTCCTCTCCTCAGGATGTCAAATTCCAAGATTTGGTCCTCTTCATCTTGGAGAAGAAAATGGGAACCACCCGCAGAGCGTTCCTCATGGAGTTGGCCCGGAGGAAGGGTTTCAGGGTTGAAAACGAGCTCAGGTAGGACAGCCCGATTTCACTTTGTAAAGCATCTGGGACTTTGGGAATGATATCTCGGGAGCCCAAGGAGCCTGTGTTTTCTTCTACAGATGGAAAAAGGGATGGTCCCACCCAGAGAACAGTAGATTTAAAATCAAAGAGCAATTGGTTCAGGGAAATGAGATGACCAAGGACTGAATACAACCGCATTAAAACTACTGGCAATCAAAGATAATGTGAATTTTTTTTTTTTTTTTTTTTTTGCCTGTCACTATGAGGAGATGAGTTATCTAGGGACGATAAACAAAACTAGTTGGAAAATTTAATGCTGAACTCACTCAGTTTCATTCTTGACCAAATTGAACAAAATACCACTGAGTCCTATTTTAAAATATCAGCTACCTGAGGCAGAAAGAAAGGTTTGGTTGCATGGCTATTACCTGCACATCTGGCCATGGAAAGTGACCAGTGTCTGTGATGGGCCAGGATGACAAGTTGACTCACCACAGGCACCTAGATGTGGTCTTGATCATAGTTTTCCAAAAACCAGCCCAAATGGGTTCATAGAAAGATGTTGGGTAAAGATGTATTCAACTGTAAAGGTAGTTCTGTCTAGGGGTGACAGACACCACGCTGAGTGCCATGTAATCAGAGCCCAGGTAGGAACGAAAAGTACTTGGACCAGCTAGGCTATTTCACTCACAGCGATTATTCTTGTTGTTGGTCTAACTGCTATGTAAGCTCTTTGCCAGTCTCAAATACATAAATAGAAAGCAAATCCAGAAACAAATGGATCAGAACTTTGACATACATGATGGTTCCAGAGACAGCTGCCAGGGCTTGCATTAAAGAAGGGGTGGTGGTCTGTGCTAGACTGACCACAACTTTTTTTCAAGCAAAACTATAAGAATTCTATGTGAACAGACATCATGATTGCAAAAATAGTGTTTGGGATCTGAAAATAAATCTGACAAGCATGTCTTGAAGAGCAAAGGTCAGCTTCAAAGTGTTGGGGAGACATTTCAAAAGTCAATAAGCAGGATGTGTTTATCTTCACAATACCATAATTCATATGACAGTGATTTTTTAGTTTTTTGGTCTTTTCTAAAATGCCCCATTCAGAAATACCTGAGTTTCCCATGGTCTCTCTTCCATCTGATTTCTCCTTACAAGGTCTCCTTTTCTTTCTTTCTGCCTCTTTTTTTTCTTTTTAACCTTCTGTAGCCACCCTCAATCTCATTTTTCAACATTCTTTCTTCGAAAATACTAGATTTCATCTAATTGTTAAGTCTGCCTAATCTTCCAGACTTATATAAAACGTTAGAGTTTGGTTGGCAAGGGGAGGGGGATTAGCTAGGTAAAGAGGCCCAAACACTGAAATTTTAAAAGAGAAATTGAAAAACAGAAATTAAAAGCCATAGCACATAGGGGATTGCTTTCCAGGACTTTGGCAAGGGTCAGGCAGGAAGGCAAATGATCAAGATGCCACTTACATGGACAGCTCTGTTGACGTGTTCACACTCCCAGCAAGGGCCCACTGATTTAGCTACAGACACAGCCATGAATACGGACACGGTGCCTTGAGGCAAGGACTTGGGGAGACGGTGGGAGGAGGCGTGTTTCTTCTGTTGGCAGGAAAGCCAAAGAGCCAGCTCCATGCCCAGATGCCGGCTGCCAGGGACCGAGCCCGGCTGCTCTGGCAACAGAGGAAATGAACGGGTGCGTGGTGAGCCAACCGCTGCTCTGCATGTGATAGTGGCAGAGTTCCCAGGCTGGTGGCTCAGAAGACGCATTACATACAAATGTCCTCTATGACACAGAAATAAACCACAGGAAGTAGAAGGCCCAGTTCTCAAACAGAATTTCTGTTCATAGATAGAGAGATTTTAATGAGAAGAGAAAATAAAAAATGTTGTAGGGGAAAACATCACTGCTAAGAAATTTAGAAACCTCAGAACCTGACTCTGACCCTTCCCAGTCATGGGGCATGAGGCAAGGTCCTGACTCTCTTCCTTGACCTTGAATCTGGTGTGATCACTTAATGAGATGATGGATGTGCATGTGCTTGATCATCGGAAACAGTTATGCAGGTGTAACGTGTAATTATTTCTTGGGAATTAGCGGGATCCTTTGACCCTCACAGCAAAACACTAAGGAAAGAGTCCTCCCTTCACAATACAACCTAGGTCAACTGATATAAACAGAACCGGGACAGGAAGGAAACTCTCAAAATGCTGTCAGTGGTTATAGGAGGTGGGAGAGATTATGGCTGTTTTTATTATCTGTGTTCTTTTTACAATAAGCAAACTTTTAAAAAAAATTTTTAATGTAAGTATGTGAGGTACAATTCAGGCTTAGGTATACAAACATTGATCATGCAGCTACCCCTGTTAATGAGGTATGCCCCTCCCTCCCCTAGCAGGTTCCCTCAACTGCCAATCCCACCCCCCCACCGATAGTTTCCCATTACTAAGCCAATTGCCTTCTTATAGCATTATAATTGTTCAAGGTCCTCTTATGAGTGAGAACATATAACACTCTGTTTTTTGTTTCTGTGATTAAATCACTGAGTATGATTGACTCCAAATCCATCCAGGTTGCTGCAATGTCCATATATGTGTCCTTCTTTATGGCTGTATAATATTCCATTATATATATGTACCACATTTTTTTTATCCAGTCCAGCTTCAATGGGCAACATGGTTGGTTCCATGTTTTTACTATTGTGAATAGAGCTGCAATAAACATACGTGTGCAGGCATCTTCTTTGTAGAATAATTTGAGTTCCTCCGGGTATATTCCCAATAGGGGGATTGTTGGGGCATATGGAAGGTTAATTTCTAGTTCTTTCAGAAATCTCCAGACTGTTTTCTAGAGAGGTTGTACAAGCTTGCACTCCCACCAGCAGTGTAGAAGCGTTCCTTTTTCTCCATATCCTCGCCAGCATCTGTGGTTGTTTATTAATGATGGCCATTCTTACAGGGGTTAGGTGGTATCTCAAAAGTGACAAAGAAATCTGGTCTTTAAAAGAAAGGCAGGAGAGTTCTCAACACTGGAGGCTACACCTCTCTTAGTTTATAAGATTCAAGGAGGGAGGGGGGACAGGAAGGTGGGATTAACGGTAGTCAATATCTGCCTGGGGAATGGGCGCACACACCTCATCAATAAGGGTAGCTGCACAATGAATATTTGTATACCTAACCCTTAATTGTACCCCACAATTTTAAAAATAAAAAAAAATTCAAAAGCAGAAGAGCTAAGAAAAAATGAATAAAAATGGGACCTGAAACAGAGCAATTTCCACAGTTCCCAGCACGTTCTTTGGCTGCCAGGAGGATTAAATTGAGGAAAAAACCTACCTGATGCCTGCTTTACCTGGACCTGAATACACAGACTGGGAATGGCGTACCTCGATGCGTTGTACTGTGCGGAGCTCTTTCATTCTCCAGCATTTGTATACCCTGTTTGGGTAGGGCTTCACTCATATTTACATTATAGTGCAAAACATGAGCCCTTCAGTGTGCTGCAGGAAGCTGATTCTTAAAACGTGCATCAGGGAAGGCATCTAAGTTCCTTTTCTGCACATTTGTGAAAAAGGATACTGAATTTTATGCCATGGCTACCTTCCTAAATTTCAGAGCAACTTCACAATCTTCGACTCACCGAGGTCAGGCTGGAAAAGCTTAAGAATCTACTGTCTGTTACTTTCTTATTATATCCTGGGCTCCAATATTTTGAGTTATCGTAAAACTTCTTTTGATCATCCACCTTCCACTAAAATCACACAAGCTACGCTTGCTTTCTGTGTCTTGACCCAAGTCATTGACATTGAGGAAGAAATTGCCATGGCCAGCAAGGATGGCTCTTAAAGTCTGCATCAACTCAGCAGTTTCAAGCAGCTGGAACCCCACCGGAGGATACGGCCGTCCTGCCCAAACCGCCATGATTTCTCTGTGGGAAGGTGTTGTCGTCAAAGGAGGATACAGCACCATGTCATCAACAATAAAGGGTTTTGTGAGTCCCCTTCTGTACGATACTTGTCAGGCTTTGGAAATACAAAACCGTAGAACAAATGGAGTCCTGCAAACAAGGATATTACAATTAGACAGGGGAGTTGGGAATTGTTCCTTTATGTCATCTAGAATTTAAAAATAACTTATCATATATTCCAAGTCTGAACCAGTTTTCATGTTTTGTTTGTTTGTTGAGTTAGCGTTTGCTTGGCCTAACCCTTGACTCAGCCTTCTTGTATTATTTCATTTGTTATGTCTAACCCGGCTATGTGGCTCTATCTGGTCCCTCCATCACAGTTGACATGTGGCTTCTGCCTCACTTATTTTCCCAAAACCACTGCCTCCAAAGTCCTGGGAATAACCGATCTAACAGTCATGGTTTTCCCACCAGAATGTTGGCAATGACTCTAGCAGTCTAAGGCCGTGTCCCTAGCATGGCCCCCTTTAAAGTGCCTGCCTGGGAAAGCTCCTTGCTGCCAGATAACTTGTTTGTTCTATCCAAACCCTGGCAATATGCAGGTGGGTCCCTGAATCCCCCTTTTAGAGCAGTTATTTTAGAAAGTTGCAATGATAAATCCTTTCTCTGCCCCTTTGAGATGCAAATTTTCTACCCACCAAGGTCCTGAGAAAGGCAAGCATTCAAGGACAACTCTCACTTCCAGTCTCTGCAGGAGGTGAAAGCCTGACCCCAGTGGACACATGTTTCTAATTTGTACCACAAAAGTTTGCTTCTACTCCAGATAAGTTTCTGTGAACAACCCCAGATAGCCTAATCACAGAACCCAAGCCCCTTAGGCTCCCTCAGGGTCTTTCCCCCACACCCAGCCCTTCCAAAGTATCCTGATTTTTATTCCCAGAGGTCGAGGGCTGTTCATGCTGGTCCTGCTTCCCTATGGCCATCGTTATCTCCTAATAACGCCATCCTCACCGCTTGCATTAGTGTCCTGCTCGGCTTATCTTTGCCAGTGTTCTACACTTCAAATCTGTGGTGTCTGAAGTCACAATATT